ATGAGGGTCATTTGGGGACTACGATCTTGTAATCGAGGGTCATTGCTAAAGTACCCCACGTTCGAGGGACATGACTTCTTATTCGTAGGAAACAAGTATGGGTTACCCTAGAGGTGCGTGTATGAATTGTGTTTTGATTGCATGTTATTTTGTCTTAAAATTAGGGTTCTATAAGATTTATTTTATCTTGTCATACACACCCTAATTACTAACAATTATTTTAAAATCGATAAATTGTGGAAATTTAAAGTCATACGCTATTACATGACTTAGGAGTCGGGGGTACAAGTAATAAATATGCGTGAAAAGTAAAAAATCCTAATTACTTATTAGAACCAAATTGAATGAAAATAATAGCAAAAAGTAAAAAAAAAATCAATTTTTTTGGTGTCTGGTCTAACACGGCCCGTGTCCTATGACACGGTCACCCGTGTCAGGACCCTGTAATAATCCATGCATGTTTTTTTTTGTCCCAGCTAAGCTGACACGGGCCATGTCATGTGACACGAGCACCCGTGTCAAGACCATGTCCTACCAATTTGTCACATTTTCAATTCCAGTTGATCTGACACTCGAACCCGTGTCAGCACTTTGTCCTCCTTTTTGGCATGTTTCCGGTTCCAATAGACCTGACACAGGCTGTGTCCTGTGCCACGGGCACCCGTGTCAGCACCTTGTCCTACATTTTTTGTTAGGTTTTCAAACAACCGAGCTGACATGGGCTGTGTCGTGTGACACGGGTACGCGTGTTAGCCCCATGTCTTGACTTTTTCGCTGAGTTTTCTTCTTTTGATCTATCCTTTTTTATATATCTTTTGAACACAAAAAGCAAATGATGTATGGATAAAGATATCACAGTTTAGAAAAAACTTTACCTCTCGAAGCGAAAACTTTAGAATATGTACGAATGCCGCCAGGTGAAAAGTGATGATTGATCGAGCTCCTTTGGACCTTCTTGAAGTTGCTTCAATCCTTGCTCTGTGTTGCAAAGTTCCCGAATTGCTCCAACCCAGTCAAGTTGCAAAATACTATTTTTTGTTTGTGTTTGGAAGCTGATGATAATGGTATTATAAAAATTGTTCTTGTGTTTGAACAATTTTTATGTGATGTATATGAAGTGTTTGGATAGTTGGTTTACGGGAAAGCTTGCAAGGTTGAGTAGTGGGTTAAGGTTTTTTTCTGTTTCCCAATTTTTGTTTTGTGAAGGAAAGTAGATGAGAAGAGTTTACAAAGAATTCTGTTAGGTTTTTGCAAATCTTCTTTTTTCTCTTCCCTCTTTTCTCTAAAAAAAACATCTCCTCTTGTGTGTTGTGAAACAACTTATTTATAGATGAAATTGATTGAAATTTGGGAGGGAAATAGATAAGTTTTTTGAACTGTTTGGGTACACTATTTCATTGCTTTTTAGATGCAGCTCTTATGTGTTAAGTTTGTTCAATTATGAGACTGATATGATGCAGATTTTTCAGGGCAACATTGTAGGTTTTGGAGCAGGTTTTAACAATTTTCTTGGCATTACTATGCAGGTTTTGGACAACAAGATATGTAGCATGATGCAGGGCTGGTTTTATGGACAGATTTATGCAGCTTGTAACAAAGACAAGGCATATTTGTGGACAACATAGTGGCAAAGTTTGAAGATTGAGCCAAAGGGAAAAGTTCAAACAAGACAAAGCTTAGGATTTGTAACTTGTAATTTTTAACTTTAAAATTCAGCCTTGTTGTCTATTAGAAAACTTGTAACAACTTGAATAATCTTGAATTATGGTGAAAAGATGTCATGAAATAATGAAATTAACATGTATAAAAACACTTCGAAAGATTTCTAAGTCTTACAAAGTTTGACTTTTCAAAATGACTTTTGACTTTCTTGATTTCTTGATGATCCAATTTAATATTTTGAATGTCTTGATGAAATGTGATCTTTGAAACTAAAATTTGATCAAAAAGTCAAAGTTTGACTATTCAGTGTACAATTGATATTTTTTCATCAATTAACCAAATTTCATCTATCAATCCACTGATCTTGGGAGATGAATGCGATTAGGTCAAAATGATGTACTTGAATCCTTGAGATCATGTTTCAAACCAATAAGTCATGTACTAGGTCAAAAGTCAAAGATTGGTCATTCTCAGTCAAAATCCTAATTTTGACCATTTTGTCCTTTTGATGATTTGAACAATTTTCTTGGAGAATTGTGATCCAATATTGATCAAATGATACATATGACTTAAAAATGTTGATATTGGTCCAAAATCATGATGTTTGACTGTAGGGTAACCATAGTTGACTTTTTTTCCAATACAATTGAGTTTAGGCGGTCTGATCAATTGATTGAGCAATTTTGTGATCCAAGACTTGAAACTTGACAGGAGCAATCTTGAGGGTCCATAATGATCCATGAAAGTCATTTGAAATATTAGAAGTCCAACTGTCTTTGTTCAAACTCAAACCCTAATTTGAGGCATCAGCGTTGAGAAGATGGCTTGACCTAGTCAATACTTGTGCAATTAAAGATCTTTGTGAGAAATATCTTGAGAAAGGGGAGGGCAAATTTCGGGGTATAACAAAGAAATAAATCAAGATTAGTAGCTCGAGGATTTCTTCAAAGAGAAGGACTCGACTATTCTGAAGTATTTTCTCCAATAGCAAGATTGGAAACAGTTCGACTAGTTATAGCATTGACATGCAACCAAGGTTAGTCGACATTTCATTTAGATGTGAAATCAGCATTTCTGAATGGTCCTTTAGATGAAGAGGTCTATGTCACACAACCTCCAGGGTTTGTGATTCAGAAGGAAGCAAGTAAAGTATATAAGTTGCACAAAGCGCTCTATGGCCTCAAGAAGGCACCTAGGGCATGGAACAAGAAGATCGAATTATACTTAGTCGATTTGGGATTTGTCAAATGCGAATATAAGTATGGTGTATATGTTCAGGTTGTAGCATAAGATATAACAATCATCTTCTTATATTTCGATGATGGCTAGTGACTGGAAATAGCTTGGAGAACTTGTCGAAGTTCAAAGAGCTGATGATGAAGGAATTTGAAATGTCTAATCTGGGAAAATTGTCTTATTTCCTAGGTATGGAATTTCAAATGTCAAAGAAAGGTATGGTGCTACATCAAAGGAAGTATGTCAAAGAAATACTCAAGAGATTCATAATGGATGGTTTGAATCCTGCATCCTCACCTGTCGAACCAAATGTAAAATTGGAGAAGAATGGAGAGGAAGACAAAGTCGATGTAACTTTGTTCAAGCAAATTGTGGGATCTCTAAGGTATGTGTGCAACAGTTGACCTGATATAGGTTTCGCTGTCGGATTAGTAAGCAAATATATGAGTGAACCAAGAGTGACATATATGAAGGCTGTAAGAAGAATCCTGAGATATTTGAAGGGTTCGATAAACTTTAAAATACTATTTTGACAAGATTCTGAAGACAAAGAAGCAATAGTTAATTTTTTCCAGATGCTGATTGGTGTGGAGATAAGGAAGATCGAAGAAGCACAAATGAATATTTATTTCAAGTATTTGGTCCCTGAATCTCATGGTGTTCGAAGAAACAACCTGTGGTGGAATTATCATCTCGTGAATCCGAATATATAGCAGAATCATATGTACATGTCGAGCAATTTGGATCAGATCTTTACTTGAAGAAATGAAGGCCGAAGTGAAGAAACCTCTTATATTTCAAATTGATAACAAGTCGGCCATAAATCTGGCGAAGAATCCAGTTCTGCATGGAAGAAGTAAACATATTGAAGCAAGGTTTCACTTTTTGAGGGAAAAGGTAAATCGAGGTGAACTTGAAGTTAGACATTGCTCAAGTGAAGCATAGTTGGTCGACATTTTCACCAAAGAATTGTAAATCGACAGATTCCTGAATTTGAGAAAGAAATTAGGAATAGTTCAGATTGATTATTTTTGAGAAAGTTCGACAACTTGGATTATAGAGGTGTGTTGAAATATTAAATTAGATTTATTAAAATATTATATTAAATTTGATTAGATTTAATATTTAAATATAATCCAAATTGTGTAGACTCAAGCCCAATTAGGATTTTATATAAATAGTCCTAGCTTGTATCATTATTTGTACAATTCAATAATATAAATTTTTATTATTTTTATTATTCTCTCTTTCTCTCCTCACTAAAAGTGTCTCACGCACTAACAAATATTACTCATTTTAAATAAACAGATATTCTGAAGTCATATCTCACCAAATACTCTATGATTTGTAGAGAAAACCACTTATACTTGAGAATATAATTATCCATATTTACTAAATTTTGAGAATTATAGTACATAAAAAAGAACAAATGTTTATCAAAGACCAAAATGTGATAACTTTGACTGTTCAACATATGATTCAACTAGCCAAGTTATATTATTGTTTTTAGACAATTTATGAATTAACTATTACATTTTTTAATTGTGACTAATATACTATACCTTTTAAATGATAATATACTAGTAGTATATCCAAATTGTTTCACCAATGACTGTTTGACCAATGACCGAAGATATACAAAATATATATTATACATTACATTTTAGAAAAAGATTTAATGCATTATATATTAGATAATACTCTAACAATATACTCAAAATAGAAATAAATTTGCGTAATTTATAATTTTATTACAATAGAGAAGAAACTATATTATTTTGAAGAATATATATGAAAAATATATCTCTATAGTTTTGACAAGTCCATAGTATATAAATTATAGCTCATGGGTTTGAATACAACTATACATCATGATCCTAAAGGGTAATTTACAATCAACAATTGGATTCTAGAATAAAAATTTTAAGCTTTGAGAATCATATTATTTAGCCTAAGATCTATCTTTTTCACATCACTTGCAAAAGCAAGGGGTGTAAAAGGACAAACCCAAATTAATATTAATAAAAAATATATTATATAATTACTAGAATACTGCTATAAATATGAACACTCTCATTTCTCACTGATCATATTTTTCAACAATGGCTGATAATGTATTTTCACCATCTCCCTCCTTTAGTAAGTGTGTCATTCACCCTCAAGAATCCTCTGAGGATTTGCCCACACTTCCCTCCAAGAGATCTAAGGGTAGACCTAAGGGTTCCAAAAACAAACCCAAACCACCATCCATAATCAGGGTGGAGCCTGAAACCTATATGGAACCAATTTTGATTAAAATCCCTGCTGGAGAAGATGTTGTGGAATCGATAATCAAGACCGCTTGGCGTCATCAAGCTGATATCTCAGTCTTGAGAGGTTATGGTCTTGTCTCTGGAGTTACCCTTCTCGACTCCGGGTCCCAAGACTCTCCATTCACTATCCGCGGAGACTGTCAGATGATATCTCTCTCTGGAACATATGTTTATCCTAACTCGGATCGTGTTCCTTCTGAGTTCATCATCGATCCTGATTATTCTTCTTTTTCCATTCACTTGTCTGGTAATCATGGTCAAGTGTTTGGTGGAGTTCTTGGAGGAAAGGTTATGACTTCAAGTGTTGTCATGATTACTGCCACTCTTTTGAGGAAGCCTAAGTTTTACAAGGTAGCCTCGTTCGATGGAAGTGTTCGCGAAGTTGAAAAGATTGATCGTGGTGCTATCATTCGCAGTGATGTTGTTGCACCTGAACTTAGAAACCATAACAACACTGCCAATGTGTTCAATTTTGGTGTTGGAAATTCCAGTTCAGCCCACCAAAGCCGCCAACTCCTCAATTCTCCTCATGCTTATGTGAATGCCATGCAGTGGAACAACTCCACTCGTACTAGTAATCACTAGATATCAATGCGAATCATGCAGATTTATGAATTCTTGTTTTCCAAGCCTTTTCATTATTGTTCGAATAAAATGGACTTAGTTTCTTGTTTGTATACTTCTTTTCAATCTATAAAATAAAACATATTGTTGTATGTTTGCATGTCTTCACCATATTTCTTTATTTATTTCCTTTAATTTTGGTCTCATGTGTTTCTTTTCTTTTATGTGTTTCTAACATTCACTTAAATGAAGAAAAAAATATTTGAGAAGATGTACCATAATGATAATATTATGATTTTGTTAGCTTGGTTTTTTCATTTACCTCAATTGATTTCTAGAGTTGATAAGTTTTCTCGGGTATTTTGGAGTTGTTTTTTATGTTGCTTATTTCCTTCAACATTCGAGGTTTGGAGAATAAGATTAAGAAGAATAAGGTGAGGGAGTTAATATCTTACGACTCCTTGGATTTTGTAGCATTCCAAAAGACGAAACTTAGTGAGATCTCTGTCTCACTAGTGCATTTTTTTGTGGGGTAATTATTTTTTTGATTGGAGCTTCATCTCTTTTGTGTTGGTGTAAGGTAATGAAGTGGAAGAAGGAGAATAAACAAGAATGATAACAAGACTATTGTTGAATATTAAATATATTGGAAATGTAATTTATTTAATGTCCACAATTCTCAATACTTACTCTTTATTAGGGCCTTTTGGCATTTTCAATTTCTAGTATAAATATGCTACATAGGCTATCAATATTGCATCCCAAATTAATTCCTCTATTTGAATATTAAGAAGTAGTCTTCTTTGTTATCATTCATTGTTCATTCTTTATCTCTCCTTCCATTACCTTGCACCAACAAATTGATATCTAGAACTTTTGGTTCTGTTTTTCCTGGAAAACACGAGTGGTTGTGAGCTGTGTGTTTGAGTTTTGTTCTTTGATTTTCTGTTGAAATCTTGAACAAAATTCTGAACAGAATTTTGATTCTGTGGGTTGGGAAACAGTGTGTTTAAGATCTGAAAATCCGTGCAAGGTTTAAAATGAGTGGAGACGGTAGTTTGAACACTAAACTTCCAGTTTTTAATGGCAAAAACTGGAACAGATGGATGATACAAATGCGTGTACTGTTCGGTGCACAAGATGTTCTGGATCTGGTTACAGATGGTTATGTACCAGCTGCAGCAGATGCAACTGAAGAACAGAGAACTGCTGAGAGGTTGATGAGAAAGAGGGACCAGAAAGCTCTGTTCTATATCCATCAGTGTGTGGATGAAAATGTGTTCGAGAAGATTGCTGATTCAACAACGTCTAAAGGGGCGTGGGATTTACTGACGAGATGTTACGGTGGTGACGCATCAGTAAAGAAGGTGAAGCTTCAATCCCTACGAAAGCAATATGAGAACCTGAACATGAAGAGCAGTGAGAAAGTTTCTGAATATATCTCCAGAGTGATTCTGATCACTAACGAGATGAAGGCGTGTGGAGAAACTCTTACTGAATAGGTAATCATAGAGAAGATTCTGAGGTCGCTCACTCCTCAGTTTGATTACATTTTTGTTTCTATTGAACATTCTAAAAATCTGGAAACCATGAAAATAGAAGAATTACAAAGCAGCTTAGAAGCACAAGAATTACGTCTGTCTGAGAGAACTTCTGAGAGAGAAGCTGAGCAAGCTCTGAAGGCTTCTTTTGTCAATAAAGACCAGAAGCAGAATAGACATGGTGATAGATTCCAGAAGTCAGAAGCCTCAACTTCTGATGATAAGAAGTAACATAAAGAAAAAGAGAGGTATGACAAAAGGAAGGTTCAATGTTACTCCAGTAAACAATTGGGCCATTTTGCCAGAGATTGTAGGTCAAACAGGGATAGGAAATCAGAAGAAGCATATATGGCTAAAAGAAACTCTGATGATGAACCTGTACTGTTAATGGCCTCTGACTCTGATGGAAAATGCTCAGAAGATTGGTGGTATATGGACACTGGCTGCTCAAATCATTTAACTAGAAACAAACAATGGCTGACAGACTTTGACTCCAGAAGGAGTACAAAGATCAGATGTGCTGACGATAAGTATCTTAATGCAGAAGGTATGGGAGATGTCAGAATTAGAGTGAAGAATGGGAAAGACATTCTGATCAAAGACGTCTGATATGTTCCTGGTATTAGAAGCAATCTGATGAGCGTAGGTCAGCTGATTGAAAAAGGTTTTTCAGTTGTTATGAAAAACAATCTTCTGACGTTGTATGACTCCAATCAGAAGTTAATTATGAAGTCTGAACAAGGAGGCAACAGAACATTCAAGGTGAATGTAGAAACAGCTGAAGCAACGTGCCTTAGTACAGAAGGTGCTGAAAGTAACAGTAAGTTGTGGCATAAGAGGTTAGGGCACTTAAACTATAGAAGCTTAGGGCATCTATGTTCTAAGAAGCTCGTACGTGGTATTTCGAAAATTGTGAAGCCTGAGAAGTCATGTGAGATATGCATGAAAGGTAAGCAACCTAGATTGCCATTTACATCAGAAGTAGCCCCCAGAGCGAAACATGCTCTGAGAGTAGTACATTCTGATGTGTGTGGACCATTTCCAGTACCTTCACTTGGAGGAAACAATTACTTTGTGTCTTTTGTGGATGAGTTCACAAGAATGACATGGGTAACACTTATCAAGTTCAAGCATGAAGTGCTTACTGAGTTCCAGAAATTCAAGGTGAAGGCTGAGAAGCAGAGTGGTCAGAAGTTAAAAATTCTGAGAACAGATGGTGGAGGTAAGTATAACTCTACAGTGTTTCAGAAGTTTTGTGAGGAAAGTGAAATAGAACATGAGGTTACTGATCCATATACTCCTCAGCACAATGGTCTTGCTGAAAGAAGAAACAGAACTCTGCTTGATATGACCAGAAGCATGCTGAAAGAGAAAAAGCTACCTCACGTGCTATGGGGAGAAGCTGTTGCCACATCAGCATACACTCTGAACAGGTGTCCAACGAAGAAACTGAAGGAAGCTGTTCCTTTAGAGAAATGGACTGGAGATAAGCAGAGTGCCAATCATCTGAAGGTGTTTGGCTCTGTCTGTTACAAACACGTTCCAGAAGCTAGAAGATAAAAACTGGATGATAGAAGCAAAATAATGTTGCTGGTGGGGTACCATAGTACAGATGCGTATAAGCTTTATTTCCCAGAAACTAATAAAGTTGAAGTCAGCAGAGACGTTGTGGTGAGAGAGTCTGAAGCATGGGATTGGAACAAATCTCAATCTGATTCTGGTGTAGTGCCAACACCAGAGTTATCCTCTGAAAATGTTTTAGAAAGATCAGAAGATGAATCTGATTCTGAAGATCCTGAAGATTCTGAAGATGAGTTAGAAGAAGATGATCCAGATACTGATGATGATCCAGAATCTGGTGGTAATCATAGTTCTGGAGGGGAAAACTCTGAAGGTGGTAACTCTGAAAGTAGTAGTTCTGGTGCAGCTTCAGAACAAGCTCAAAGACCACAGAGAATCAGACAAAAACCCAGAAGGTTTGCAGATTTTGACATGTTGCAGGATAATGACGTTGACTCTTAAGGAGAAGTCGTTCAGTGTGCCATGTTAGTAGATTCTGAACCAGTGGGCATTGAAGAAGCTCTCAAGAAGAAAGAATGGCTTAATGCCATGAAAGAAGAACTTGAGGCAATAGAAAGGAACAAAACTTGGAAATTGACTAAACTTCCAGATAAGAAAAAAGCCATCAGTGTTAGATGGGTTTTTAAGTTGAAACTTAAGCCAGATGGTTCCATTGGCAAGCACAAAGCTAGACTAGTAGCTAGAGGTTTTCTTCAGAAACCTGGGCTAGATTATTTTGAGGTGTTTGCACCTGTAGCTAGGCATGAAACAATCAGACTGGTGATTGCTTTAGCTGCAAACAGAAACTGGCCTTTAATGCACCTGGATGTGAAGTCAACATTTCTGAACGGTCCATTACAGGAAGAAGTTTACGTGTCACAACATCTTGGATTTGTGAAAAAGAATCAGGAAGGGATGGTATACAGGTTAAATAAGGCTCTATATGGACTGAAGCAAGCGCCTAGAGCTTGGAATCTGAAAATTGATTCATTTTTCAAGAAGCAGAGGTTTCAGAAGTGTGAGATGGAATATGGAGTTTATGTACAACACTCTGATAACAATATGATTCTGGTGTGTCTCTATGTTGATGACATCTTGCTAACAGGTAGCTGCCCAGAAGATATAAAGAAGTTCAAGGAAGTTCTGATGAATGAGTTTGAGATGACAGATCTAGGAAATATGACATATTTCCTAGGAATGGAGATTATGTACTCGAAGAAGGGTATCATTCTGCACCAGTTAAAATATGAACAAGAACTTCTGAAGAGATTTAAGCTGCAGAACTGCAAAGTTGCTGTGACACCATCAGAAACCAATCAAAAATTGGATTCTGACTCTGATGGTGATTATGTTGATTCTACAACCTTCAAACAGCTGATTGGCTCTCTAAGGTATTTATGTAATACTAGACCTGACATTTGTTATGCAGTTGGATTGGTCAGCAGATTCATGAGTAATCCCAAGTGGTCTCATTTCCAAGCTGCTGTCAGAATTCTGAGATATATTAAGGGAACTTTGAAATATGGAGTGTTGTTTCCTTCTGAAAGAAAGACAAAGTCAGAATTAGTAAGTTATTCTGATTCTGACTGGTGCAGAGACAGAGTGGACAGGAGAAGTACCTCTGGATACTTGTTTAAATTTCTGGGAGGTCCCATTTCCTGGAGTTCCAAGAAACAGCCTGTTGTAGCTCTATCAACATGTGAAGCTGAGTATATCGCAGGTGCTGTAGCTGCTTGTCAAGCAGTTTGGCTTCTGAATCTCCTGCATGATTTAAAGGTCGAGGTTAAGGAACCTCTGAAGCTGATGATTGATAATAAGTCTGCAATTGATCTTGCCAAGAATCCAGTGCTACATGGAAGAAGCAAGCACATTGAGACGAAGTATCACTTTCTCAGAAATCAAGTTCAGAAAGGAGTGTTA